CAGGAACTGGAGGGCAGTTCCAGTGCTGCAGTATGTACATTATCCTTATTATCTACTAGGCCTTTCTCTATCAGTATTTTTAACCCCTATATCTTGAAAACGTTCATGATGTAAACTAGGGAGAGCTCATGTATTAAAAATGAGATCCCAGGTAACAAGACGTGTCCTAGAGCTGACATCAGGAGGGAGATTCATTCAGGGTATTCCCTTCAGCATCTTGGCACTGCTTGGTGCTGGTTTACAGGTCTGTGTTCAATCTAATGACAGCAGTAAAACTTGAGTACTTTGGCAGTGGGGGAGGGAGACTGCAGCAGGGAAATGCTTTCTGAAGATATTTTCTACAAGACTGAAATAACCATTTCTTTCTCTTCTTAGAGCTGTCAATCACAAGGACTACCCATTCAAAGCAGAATATTAATCCCAGAGGTTTCTGCAAGGCCTCCGTGTAACTCCTTCCAGATCAGATGTACTCTGTAGCTTGGTCTTGACTTCTTCTGTTCTGCACAATCATTACGAGCAGTTACTTGTCCTGTTTTTAGGAGACCACCAGCTGTTGTAAGAATGTATCAGTGGGGCTGGGTCTTTCATAAAGATGATTAGCAGAATTCTGGTTTTGAATAATAGTAAAAGACAACATCTCTTCATTTTCTTATTCACTGTCTTCCTTAATCAAAGACTGACTTAGCAAAAAATTATCTTTTACTTACACAGTTTTTTATGTTATTTTTGGTGGAGTCCGTTGTGCTGGCTCATGAGTTCTAGTTGAGGAATGCTCTCTTTAATTACCTTGCTTTTTACACAGTTGTGATTTTTATAGTGTGACTCTCTATTGCTTTAAAACTTTGTATGAATAAAGTTTGAACAACAGCAATACTTGCTCAGCGTAGTGCTTAAATGGTTTCATACAAGTAGCTAGAAAAACATGCCTGAAGTCTGCTTTTTAATATCTGAATTTTAGTACAGATAGAAATGAGCTTTAATTCCTGTACAAGGACAATACATAGAGACTTCGTTGTGGCTTATGCATCTAACAGGATCTTACTTTCACTAGAATGCAGAGAACAAAACTGTTCCTATTACATTATGTAGCCCTCCCTCTGAATAACTAGCAAATGAACTCCTATGTGATTAGTGGTGGAGAGCTGAAGACAGCATCCTATGCAGCGACAACACATCCAAGTCCACCCAGCTTCAATTTTTGCAGCTCTGCTGGCAGCTTTCAGAACAACATATCCAGACAAGGTTGGCTTTATCAAAAGAAAACAGAAAAACTTCTCTTTCAACACACCAAAAGAAAGGCTGTGGAAGTGTCACAAATGCTTTAAACATTTTCAGGTAGGTGATGCTAGGCCAAAGTAAAGGCAGGCTTGAAAAAGGCTGTTTTGTGGCATTCTGCACACTGACAAGAGAATGTCTGGCTGGGGTGCTGAGTGAGCTGCAGGAAAGCATTATGAGAAACTAAAGTGATAATTTGGTACTGTCTGAAGAAAAGTCACTCCATGATAGTATCAAACTTGCAATAGAACAGAACTTGTAGCACTGCTGAGTCAGCCACTGGGATTTTTCTTTGGGAAATTCTGGCAGGAGGCAGTGCCAGCTGGTGGGAACAAACCATGACTGTGCCACTTTACTGTAGTTCCTAAAGGTAAAACTGCTTCGGCCCAGCATGCTTTCATACTCTCAGAAAAGGCAACAGCCAGGAACAGAAACTTATCTACATCAATATGGAAAAGTTTTGCTTCAGTAAAACTTGCAGGGAACTGGGTCAATGGAATTGGTCAGCACAAGTCAGAACAGGCACACTTTCAAGCATACAAGCTCTTTTCAGGTTAAATTAGGCAGCACCCAATTATTTCTCCCCCAGTAGTTCAGAAAGCTTTGCTTGCTGCAGCCTTCCTATTGCTCCCCAGGCAGCTGGCAGGAGCTGGATGGGCCTCTCCTTTGGATGACCATGACCTGAGTAGAAGAGGGCATTACACGCTTTGGTGCCCTTAGAGCAAAAATGAATTAGGTGGGAGGATGATGGAGAGCCAGCAGCTTCCCAGGCTTGGTCCTTGTGATTGTCCAAGCCTAGAATCACATCCCACTGAGTCAGACAGAGGAAACACGATGAATCTCACCCAGAGAACATTTTTCAAGGCACGGGAACAATGGCTGCGCTGCTGTGTCAGAACCCGCTCTGGGCACACTGACTTCTGGATGATCATAGATTCATAGGATCATTTTGGTTGGAAAAAACCTTTCAGATCATCCAGTCCAATCACTAACACACTCCTGTCTGGTACTGCTAGGCACAACAATCAAGATTTCTTTTTTTCCTCTCCCTTAAGAATATGTAGGTTAAAGCTGCTCATTTTACAACTTGGCTGTCTCTCTAGGATAGTTCATCAGGAGAGGCATCCTTTGAGCTTCTTTGCAATGATACCTTATATTACATGGTCTTGGCACAATTCCTATCCCAATTACAACTGGCTCGTTCCTACTCATTAACAAACAGGGCTGCTGATGGAATTATTCCATTTATTGTGGATGCAGTTTCAGAATACATTGTTTGAACAAATTGTTTTTATTGCAGCTGTTGGATGTATTTGAAAGACTCAGAGGAGTGTTTACAAAACCCCCAAACAAGAAACATGACAACTCACAGACAATGTCAGGCACAGTTTCACCCCCTAGAGATAACTGCGTGCATCTCTATATGTAAACAAGATGTTTCAGCCAAGGAGAGGAGCTCATCTTTGGGCTGAAATATAACATTATTCTTCTTTAGGAAGAATTCAGATGCCTTAAGAGATGGAAGTGGTGAAAAGGGAGATCCTGGTGGTTCTGATGCACAACAAAGCTGTTCACAACGTGCTCAGGGGCTACTTCAGTTGCTCAGTTTATGCCACCCATACACTGTAGGATGTAAATGCTAAACTGTATGGTACGTAAATTCAAACCAAGCTGACGTCTTATAGCCATGTGTTTACTATATACAAATGAAAACATCTGTAAATAAGCTATCTGGAAGAGAGAGATAGAAAGAAGCACTGTAAAGACAGAGGTTTACTTCATTTTAGGTGGACAGTGTATGGCACTGATGGATGGCAAGATTCCGTGTACAGTCATTTGAAACAAGCTCCAAGTGTGGTTAGTTTTTTTTACTTTTTAATTCTGGTAGTTTTATATAAATTAAACTACAATGTTTTATACAAGTGACCTATTTTTGACCCTCTATACCCTTACCTTTTCCTCTTTTAAAAGTATACTTTCTTTTAATTACCCGTTACTGGGCAACTGACATTTAAACTTTTTTAATACTTATCTCAGCATACCTCTAATGGCAATTATGAAATCTTACTATAGCAAAGTGTGTGATTTTGTCTTTATTTTTTTAAAGCTGTGATATTGGCTAATTATGTATGTTTATTACTAAATATAATGCTCTAGCATGTATTAAAGCATTCTACCTCTACCATTAGTAGTGCCTTTAGGCTAAACTTTGTAAAGCTATGTGTGTGTATATACTCTAAATTGCATTCAGTTACTAGTCACTAACAACAAAAAGAAATATCAGTACCGCTGTCAGCTAACATAATTATCCAAATTTAGATATTAACTTAAACTAGAATGAAAAAAACTGATACCTTAAAAAAGTATAAAACAAACAAACAAAAAAATCAAAACACGTTATTGATGCAGTATTTCTCATGACATGGGCAACTTAGAGAAAATATTACATTGTCAACTAAAGATAGTTCTTCCATGCCTTAGTCTAAAGTGCAGAAAGAAAGACTTCTGTATTACAAAAGTAACCGTTGTTTTTATAGGTTTACTGCACACCTTTCTTAAGCAACTTCACTTTACATGCATTTTGAGTTGACCTCTTATGCCAGTTGAAACCACTGTTCAGATACATAGTTATGACTATCAGTAGGAGAGTCTATATATTTCACAGCATGGGTTTCTTTAGGAATAAAGGCTCTTGTGCAAAGGCAGTACTATTATGATGAATGTCTAGACTGGTTATTAAATACAGTGCTAATATACATGGTTTTAACTGGGATAATGCAAAAAGACATTTTGGTAAATAAACATAAATATAAAAAGAACAATTTAGCACTTTTTCCTTTTTTTTTTTTTCTTTTTTTTTTTTTTCCCCTCTTTCCTGACTGATTGGTCCAGCGTCTTTAGTCGCCTTCTATGGTTCTTTCTCAAATTGTCTCAAACCTGCTGAGAAAGAGAAAGATTAAAGAAGGCTTGAAATAACCCAACCATATCTCTAAAGTAGAGAAGATATGGCTCTAGTTTAATATATAGCATGTTAGGAGGAAGGACACAAGCTGGATGCTACTGTACTTGTGTGTTGGGATTGTTCACAGGTCATCTTCAAGAGGACAAGCAGGATTTCACTTCTTTCATCTCCAACAGTCCTGGGAAGCAGCTCAGGGAGAGCTCAGGAGCTTCCCACCCAGAAATATGGAGGGTGCTGCAGCCAGCACTCTCCCCAGCTACGCAGGCGTGGTCACCAAGCTAAGGCAGTCTGTGCTGCAGTGCTTGGTGCATGCCCTCCAGGTCCACAGCAAGACAGAAAGCCAACTCCTGGGAGCCTCTACCTGCAACCCTCTCCCCGCCAAAGCTCTCCTCTCACTCAGTCATAGAGGAGAGGCTCGGTGGTGTCCAAACCACTCAGCAGGGTCTGCTCCTTCCATGGAGCAGAGCTGCACTACTGCTGAGTGATCCTGAAACCCCCTCTTCTGACAGCTAGAGGAATTATTTTTACACAGCAACACTGCTGAATTTTCATCAGGCTTCACCATTACTTAGAGAGAGTGTTTAAAATCACATGCAAGGGTCATTCTTGGTAGTACTGAAATCTTCAATTTCTGCTCAAATAATGTTGCTGCAAGAGCCTCGCTTTTTGGGTTGCCCCTCTCCACTCATGAAAGGGATATCTGCTGCTGTTGTAGCATTTAAAAGAGCCTTTTCCAGATGCATTGCATGTGCTGTAAGTGGTTAAATGACCATCCCATTCCTCAGATGTCATACAGTTTAATGATACTCTCCAGCTACAGCAAACATGCCACGTGTGTCACTTGACCAAGGCTTTGTACACACGGCTGGAGCGTGCTAGTCCTCAGTCCTCCTAGAAAGGTTATTTAGGTTTATTTCTCAAACACTCATATTTTGATGATATTGTAATGAAGCTTTTCCAAGGCAAAAATGGGGTTTCTTTACATCAACATTAACAGATTCAGAATTTCAAAACAAAGATAAGTCTGTGAAAAAATGTGACAACATCTCTACTTAATATGCAGATGTATTAATAGAATTACTTACCATTAGTCTCTGATTTTTTCCCCATAGCTGATACCTGTTTGAAAAAGTAATAACTCATTATTAATGTTGAATGTGGGAAAACATAACTATTTGTAACAGGGGAAAAAAATCAGCTCCATGAAAAGAGCAGATTGCCATGCACAACATAGCTCTGCCAAATAGATCTATAAAGGTTACACGCTGCCCATGGCTTTCTGTGCCTCATTGTACTTTCTTTTATGGATAACAAGGCAAGTTAGTAACAAAAGACATGTAGAGGCCTAAATCCAACTGACTGTATGAAGGCAAATGCACATTCCCCCCCCAAAAGCCTTCCACAGAGATACTATCCTTGTAACAGAGCACAGAAGTTTTACCTTAGAAGAAGCTGGTTTTTCAACTGACTGCTTCTCCCAGAGATTACGTTTGCCAGATACATCTCCTGGTTTTAAATCCTGCATTTTAAAATTAATGTCACAGAACAGAAACCAACGTTAGTTTAGGTATGTTTTAATTTGTTAAAGTTAGAATGCAACTTCCTTATAACAGACATTGAGGAGCATTGATAAATATTACATTGTCTATCAATTAAAAGCTATGCAGAATGACAATTCACATAGTGACTCTACACATATACATGCTTTAGGACAAAAACCAATCTTGCTGCATCTATTTAGTACTGCACAGACTAGACCTAACTTTTTACATTGATCTTAGGGAGTACAGTGAATTTACAGCACCACTGGGTTTTTAAGAAATACAGTTCCAACTTCTGCAGGGAAAAAAATAAAAGAGGAGATGGGAATTTAAAAGTAGCTTGTCTCGGTTATTTTAGGTCAGAATATAAATACTTCATTTTTTTAAATGGAAAAAAAATAGAGTAAGACATAATACAATAGAAAAGCAGATCTTCCTCTGCATTCTTAAATACAGGTTTCAGGATTTAACATTGAAGTCCTTCATATGTCATTTGAATTTCCACTGCATCCTTCAAAACCTGAATATGGACCAATCACTAGACCAACAGAAAAAAAAACCAGGGAGGTAAAGTCATTACAAAATCTATTCTCTGAAAATGAGTGTATATGGAGACCTTAAGCAAAACACAAGACAAATGTCAAGCTGCTTATTGGGGAAAAGCTAGTAGCAGTGCACCTGCTTCAGGACAGGTGGGTTGGTATCTCCCTCTGTGGCTGGCAAACAAAAGACTCTTGAAACAATTTTGGACATAAGTACTCTCCTTTTCAAGAAGTATTCAAGTTCTGCATGGTTTCCAGTCTTGTTCTTGCCACCCATAGAGAGGTAGTTTTCTGCACATGAGAATTTCTAACTTAAGATAGAAAAATGTCCAGTGATGAACAGAAATGTGATTTCTTAAAGAGGTATTTGCACCCAGCAGGGATGCTCTAGAATTGTTCATAATTTACAGCCAAAGAGTGTTGAAGATGGTTAAGACTTTAAGCCAAATCTGTACTTCAAAAATGCAAGATCAGGAGTAACAGAGGAAATTAAAAACCTGCAAAATTGCAGTGGTCATTATCACAAAAGCACTTGCAAAATCCTGAAATAATTTGGGATCTGTGATTTACATCCACCATGAAACTGGTTGTGATATTTGCTCTCTCTGCTTTTAATTGAATATTGTTCCAAAACACACAAGAACTTTGATACAAAAGCTTTGAACGATTTTTTATTTTGGTGGAATGTGATGGGGGTAGGAAATCATTTGCTAACTTAAGAAATTCTAGGTTTTCGTTTGATTTATCCTGGAAATAAAAATCACGTATTACAGATGTATATCATTCATCATAGTCAATTATAAACAGGTTTACCTGACCAACTTAGTAAACAGACCCCCAAAGAAGAATAGGAGGAGGGCAGGTTCCTTCAAGCAGAGATATTGAAAGAAGAAAGAATAATCTATTGAGAAAGAGGGAAATGAAGACATAGGTAGAAATGGTTGGCTAGGGGGGAAGACAAGAGGTTCATTATATATTATCTAAAAGATGCAAATTAAAAGAAAGAGAGGAATATCTGGAGGCAGATTCTGTGTTGGTTTTCAGGGGTTGTGATTAATTTCAGTGCCTTCAATCACTTTTGGTTTTATATTCATGTCCACAAGGACACAATCTCAATGGAGCTAGCAGTAAATACTGACATTAGGGACAATGCTGAAAGTTTCAAGCTCCTCTTTGGGACAAATAGGAGTGTAAACTGAGAAAGCTTTTTTCAGGTTGTACCTTTTATAAAGGACTGGCAGAAAAAAGGCTACACAAGGATATGGGAAGAAACCAGTTCTTTAATGAAATCCTGGAGGTGAATCATTAACACCACAAGTGATGCCCTGCCATTCTCCAAAATGGATGCCTACAGCTCCAGTTCCTCATCCCTAACCTTCCCCATCTCACAATTACCTGCATCTGCTTCTTCCCACATCCACACTGCTGCTTCCCACACTCCCAGGTTATTGCTTTGATAATATTTTCTGCTCTGCTTCTTGCTGAAGTAATGGGCATGCAAAAGGGCCTTCATTAGAAATTACATTTAGGGTCTTAAAGGATTAGAGAATTTCAGCTGTGTTTAAAAATATACTTGGATGATTTATACAGGGCAAGGGCCAAAGCACAAGTGTTTCATACGAGGTCTGTGGGTGATAATTACTAAATTTTTGATAGGCCTTTCACAGGTGGTAATTTAATGTTCCCCTTTACCGAAGAAGTGCTTCTCTGAGCACCGTCTTTTTAGAGCACCCCTAAGCTTTAAGGTGAGAACTGTCCTGTTTTATCTTCCCCTTTTCTGTCTACCCATGAGTCAGCAGCCAGAGGGACTCTATGAGCTTCCAGTAGAGGATATAGAAACATAGAATCATTTAGTATGGCAAAAACCTTTAAGATAATCAAGTCCAACCGTTAAGCCAGCACTGTCAAGTCCACCACTAAATTATGACACTAAACACATCTACGTGTCTTTTAAATACTTCCAGGACTCAACCACCTCCCTGGGCAGCATGTTCCAATGCTTCACAACCCCTTTGGAAAATAAATTTTTCCTAATATCCAATCTAAACCAACCCTGGCACAACTTAAGGCCATTTCCTCTTGCCCTATCATGCAGCAAAGTTCCTCCAAAGACCATCAGCTGGTTGAGGAAGCACGGTCACCACCTCCAGCCCAGAAGAGAACCCACCTACTGAAGAGGTGGTTGTTGCAAGTTTACTTACAGAAGGTTTTGGAGCAGGTGATTTGTTGCTCTCTGGGGTCTTGGTTAGCCACTCATTGATACGACTGGAGACACCAACCTTTAGCCCGGCAGTTTCCTGTAAAATAATGAAATCTAATCAGAAGACTTTTGAGGAGAGCTTTTGCTGTGTGTTCCATGGTTTAGATTTAAAAAACAAAGTTAAGCCTGAGTTTAATATAGAGGTCCTCACTGAGACTATGGGTAGCTAAGAGTCATTCTGTGTGCTCTGAAGATATGTTCCCATGAACTACAGAGGGCTACTACACTCTAGTTTTCAATGATAAGTATGGGCTGACAAAATCATTTTCACTTTAGTGCTAGCCCAGGAATAAATGTTAAACATAAACCTGCTGTTTCTGTCATAACCCCATACTCCAAGGAGGAAAAAAATCTTCAGCCTAAAAGAACAGTCCAAGTCTACATTTTTGATTTGTTAAATTAAAATTTCTCAAAGAAGTACAAAAGAGAGGAGTTAAGTGGCCTAAAATTTAAACCATTAAAATAAAACTTTAAAGGTTAAAAGAAATTACTGAAGTTTCAAAGCTATCTGTAATAAACCCCTTCAATCCACAGCTCATTTTTTGGCTATGATGAATGCATATGAACTCACATCAATTTATGGAATGGAAATGTTGCCTTAAGGATTTACATAGGAAAGATAAAAGTCTAACAAATGCCTCTATGCATTATCTATAAAACATCATAATTATGTTGTCTATTTAATCCTTCTCTGCCCCCCAAAAGAATGCTTTCCCAACACAAAGAATTCCTTTGTACTGCATGTGAACTACCCAGATATATTTGTCTAAGATATCTGATGCGTCTCTGGAATGTCTCATAACTTAGCTCAGTATGTCACTAAATTCTTCTGCTATACTCAATATTGCAGCCACACAATTTTGTGGGTTTCTGAGGACCCTGGGATTTTTTGGGATATTCTTCACCAATGATGTCAACAGGAGCAGCCAGGCTTACTCATAGGAACATGAATGGCAAGATCAGGTCCATAATGTAATTCTTCATAACCATTATGCAAAATTGAACACATACCTTATTTGGTGTTCCTGTCCCAGAGGGTGATGAAAAAACATTCCCTTTCTCCCACATGCTCTTAATATTACGGACACCTTCTGCTGGAACAGGAAGGTCAGAAGCTGCTGGCCTAGCTGGTCTTGCAGCCTTTGTGCCCTGCAGAAGAGTAGTGTCATTAAGAGCTGGAGTTTGAGCATGGTTTGACTCTGGGGCAGTGCTGGGGAATGCAGCAGCTGTAAGTGGTTCTAGTGATGATCATGCAAAGATGGAAAGGAGGATCCAGCTCCAGAGATGCCACTGAGACTCTCCTCCTTCTGTTTTGCAGTTGCACCCTTGACACAACCGGCTATGAAAACATCACTCACATAGATTTTTGCATTTGTTACATTTCTAAAGCTCATGGCAAACCATAGTCTGCACACAACTGCTCCAAGGCTTTCATTCATCCTTTAAGTCTTAGCACCTGCATCCTGTAAGCATGGCTCTTTCAGGGACACAGCTAAGCAAATCCTCATGCAGAGGTGAGGTGAAAAGGCTGCTCTGTCATTCAGCATCAGACTCTGTCCCAGTCTAGCAACCTGAGATCCCAGGGGTAAATTTCATCAATTACAGTATGTTTGGAATGAGGTGGTTTTTTTAAAGAGTGGAGGATTGAGTTTTTTTGGCAGTGCGTCTTTTGCGTGACTACCAAAATACAACGGGCCAAACTCCTCCTGTTCCTTCTTTTCAAAATTCTTTTACATTTTACATAAAACAGATTTGAGGATCCTCAGAACATCTGTGAGCTGAGGTTTTGCCCCCCTAGTTAAAAAGCAAGTCAGACTTGGCAACTTTTGGAAAAATTAGAAACTCATCAAAGGAATAATTTCAGGTCAGATGGGAGCTGTATATAGCTGTGAAGCTGCTGCCTGCCCCTTGCCATAGAGCCATGCTTTTTAATATCTAAATGGAGCAAAAAGACTCAGGGCCTTAAGCACAGACCTACTGAAAATACTGGAGAGCCTAACATAAGATGGTGAGTGGGCTGGTCCAGTGTTTACAGGTTGACAAACTCTGACTTCACTATTCCATAAATTCCTTATGACAGATAGGTCTGTACCTCCAACTCGCCCATTCTCTTTAAAGAGTTTAACATTGAACCCTAGTACCAATTTAAAGCCATTGGGCACTCATCCAGAAAAGGTGTAAAATGAAGTGGGAGAACAGAAGCTGTATGCTGTTACTTTAATGGTATGGGGACTACTGGGTGCCATGCTGGCATTCATCTCTAGTGGAGGGGTTTGAGCTACCTTCAGCTTGACGGAAGTGCTGGAGGCAAGCCTGAGCCTTCAGCACTGTCATGCATGTGTTTTTTTTCATGAGGAACTGGCACACAGTATAAAACTCTCCAGCACTGATAGGCTTTCTAGCACAAAGGTTAAACACACAGCAATCACAGAAAAAAAAAGCTTTTGTTAATTGATCTTTAATTACTAAAGTTTCCTTTATGGTAAAGGATAATAAAGCCTGACCAATTAATACCTTAATGGAATACCATTCTTAGGCTCTATATGTCAACCAGAGGAGAAAAAAAAAAAGCCCAGCAAGGAATGAAGTGCTAGATTTTAATTACAGATATTAAGATAATATCCCTTTTTACACTATTCTATTCACATGACACTTACAACCCAGTCCAGTTGGCCTGCTGTGTTAGCCAGTAGCTTTCACATTGCCTGTCTTTGACAAGGAATTTCATTCTGAAGTGGCAGCCACAAACACAGACCCAGTTCCTTGCTCTACTACATCAGCTGCTAACTCAGCTTTGTTCAGGATGACTGGTGATCGTACTTTCCGTCAGCCAAGAAGAGGATGTGACTGTCACTCAAGAAATGCTGACTGAGGCCTTCAAGAGCTGCTCCAAGCTTACAAAGCAGAGTAAATTGTAGCATGAAAGGGAAGACATGAATCTGAGGTTTTGTTTAGATATATATCCAGATGTTATAGGTATGCCTCACGCATTTTGTTCTTGAACTCATATTAAAAAAAGAGCTTGCGACCAAAAATCCCTGAAATTCCTGAGCAGTAAGACATAGGCTGATTAAAGTCCAGAAAAGCCATTAGTAACTAGAGCCTTTGTGACCTGGAACTAACTTACCTCAATTGCACTAGTGTATTGCTCAAGTCTACTGTCAATCTTTGAGACAACTGCTGTTGTGTGACTTGGTTTCATACCACTGTAGGAAGTAGAAAAAAGAGAGAAAGAAATTATTATTCCCTCCAATTAAACATTGCTGTTTTGACTGAACCTACTGTTTTATTGCTTTACCTTTTCTGAGCGGATTTGTTCAAAAATTCTGCTCGTTCCTCTATCTAGAAAAGAGAGAAACAAGAGCTGTGAGTTTAAAGTTAATAAAAAGGCAGTCTGTACAAGGCCAAGCTAAAATGTCATTTTAAATTATGCACTCCAACAGAAATCACCACAGACATACACACAGGTTTTATAGTTAGGACACTACTATATTACAGATTTGTAAAGGTAGATATATTTTCTACAGTAATATTTGCATCCTGTATGTTTCTTCAGTGCCTCATTTGTAACAAAAGAATAAACCACGAATACAGAAAGGGGAAAAGAGAAGAAGTTCATCTCATGAAAGGGACTGATAGTCACAAAATCTATGTCAGATTTCCTCACATCTCCCACATCAGAGCAAGTATGTATATCTTCAGACAGACAGCAAATTTCATAAAGTTTTTCTGAGTTGAGAGCTCAGTCTAGGCCAGGTTTGGAGCTCAGCCACATACCTCATGTCATGCATGCTTTTGCAGGACACTGACAATTTAATCTGAGCTCCAAAAAACCAATCTGACTGTACCCTCGTCATGTTCTAGCAGGGTCCTTGCTGAGTCAATATCTACCAGCTGTTATTATATAAACTGGTATCTAACATTTCATCATTATTTTCTACTCTGTGTGTAGGAGAACGTTGTTGCGTTTCCAGGGAAAAAGAATCATGAATGTCTCATAAGGCTTATGCCAAAACTCTCAATAATCTGAAAACAAAAAGACTCCATTCCTGAAGAAAGTTTTTAAACATTTCACAATGGGTGCATGTGTGTGTGTGTCTATTTGCATTTTGGATCAAGAAATATTTCTGTCAAACTTCCTCAAGTCTCTCTCACATTGCATTGTTCCTCTCCTTCTCCCAGGCCCTACAGTTTCACTTAAGAGTAAAATATACACAAGGAGCTCCAGGGCATGGAAATGACTATTAATCAGCTTGGCTGGATTCCCGAGGATTCCCTGGGCTCAGTATGGATTGTCCATTTTCAAGTTACTTTAACAGTGACTGCTACAGCATTTGTGCCTTTGAAATAAGGCCATGACAGCCATTCCTTTAAATGGTTCTGCTCGGTGTCCTTAGCATCCAGGCTGTACCAAACTACTAAATCCCACAGCAATCCTGTCAAAGGGCATGACTGTCATTTCTCAAGCCCATAAAAGCAAAAACTCAGGCAGTTCCCTTCAGCGCAGAATTTGCCAAACAAGCTCACTGGAGGAGTTCCAGCTAGCATCCATCCAGCTCAAAGGCACCTCCAAAGCTCTAAAATAGATAGACACAATTTACAGCGTAATTTACATGAACGGTTTCGGTGGCCAGTGAAGTCGGGAGGGGAAAGGACGAACCAAGTGCTTCACCGCCGTGCTGTCAGAGGGTGGCAGCAATACCCCAGGCAGGAGCCGAGGAGGAGCTGGGCACACCCGCCCTGCTCCGGAGCTCCGGCTCCTCCCCTGCCAGCCCGAACCACTTCCAGCTTGGTTTCACCCCGAAGTTGTATAGCTGGCATTGCCTTAAAACGAGCAAGGGAATGCTCTGTTTAAAAGTGACTACAGGCATCTACGATGGTGACCTAAACCACGTCACCACTCCACAGCTATTCTATAGGAGGTGAAGTTTCCCACAGTGCTGATTTCTGGGTCATAACCAGAAATGCATCCAAATGATGAGTTACGCCAGCAAGAGCCACTGGTTTGTCCCATGCTCTGTGTGCACTGACTGCGTCAGTGAAATCTTGGCTGGCATCAAGGACAAACAATATGGGCTGTCTCCAAGAACCAGAACTCAAGGTAACCATCTAATAATTAATTCACAGCATCTTACAGTTCAGATAAACTGAGATTCCACTTGAATTCTTACAACAAAGACAGATTTTACAGTAGTCTCTTTATAGTCTTCCTGTGTTCAGGAAGCAGAGATGTTTCTACAAAGCAGGAAAACCTGGCTTCAGTAGGTGCTGGTGTAAGAGTGGGACAGGTTGGGGGTAAGAGGCACACGTCTTCTTGGGGCTGTAGTAAGAAAAATGTGGTCATTCTTCACCCACTGGAAACAGCAGTTCTCAGAGCACCTGCTGAGGTATCAGGAATAAGTCAGGGATTGTTCAGAACAGGAGAGTGAGGAAGTGCTGGAACAGGCTGCCCAGGGAAGTGATTGAATTGTCATCCCTGGATGTGTTTAGAAGTCATGTAGGTATGGTGCTGAGGGACATGGTCTAGCAGTGGACTTGGTAGAGTTAAGTTAATGGTTGGACACAATGATCTTAAAGGTCTTTTCCAACCTAAACGACTCTATGATTCTATGAAGCAAACGAGAAAGTAAGTTAAACAGGAAAGCAGAGTTAGGAAGAAACCCTAATAGCTGAAAATGGTCCTCTCCCCAAGGAAGCAGGTGCTTTGTGTGGATGGATAGCACATTTTCTGTACATTTATATGAGAGTTTGTTCTAGACCTGTTTCTAAAGTCCTGTTCCTCAAAACATGGCATGCGTGGAACAGAAGCATACATTGAATACAGTGAGAGCAAACACACCCAACAGCTGTATTCAACATATAGGTCAATCAAATGCATGTGGACTGCACAGAAACATCTAAAGTTCATTTATGCACTGCACACTGCACAAACTCCATGCAAAGAATTTAAAATGTTGGGCACATACAGTAAACAGTATTACAAAATAGATCTGTAAAAGAAATAGGCAAAACAAGGTGGTTAGCACAAAATGCAAGCTAGTTCCTCAATTTGAGATCAGGAAATAAGAATAACCTTTTTGCTGCATTAATTTTAACAAGATCTTGTTAAACAGATTGGACTATGTTTTATCACCATGGAAAACCTTCCAAAGCCTCTGACCCAGAACACATACGAAAAGTGTTTTGCTCCAAAAAGTCAACCTGCTGGCCTCTAATTAAATAATGACCAGAGAGAAAGACCACAGGATCTCAGGCTGCAGCTCTCCCACCTAACCTCAGTTGCTTGAAAATGAAGCATTTATTAAAAAGTGCTCATTTTGCTTCCCCATATAGTCAGTGGAGAGGCAGAGGAGTTCACCTCACCCTAGGAAAAGTGGGATTGCTTGTACACCGAAGCTGGCTCTTGTTGTATTAACTACCAAAAAGAATTTAGATTAGACGACAAAATGTTTAGATGGACACCCACACTCCTGCTGGTAAAGTCAGGTGAAATTAAACCAATGGACATAAATCAAAATCATGTGGATTCTCACACCTGATTAGGGCATTACTCAACAGGGTCAGCATATACAGGTGGCAAGGAATAAATTAAGCAAGCTGTTATATAGAGATCTAAGTATGTATTTACCCATATTCAGTATTATGTAGGCATATTTTGTTCACTCACTGATTGTGCAAGAAAGGTTTTGCCTATTAAAAAGTGTGGGTGTCAGTGTATTGTCTTCCATCTGTACATTCTCCAGGAACAGAAACAGCATGGAAGAGGAATTAGTTAAAACAGTTTGAGCCAATGGCTTGGGGAAAAAAAAAAAATCTAGATATTCCCAGGTAAACTGGTTTCACACAAAGTTATTAAATTATTCTTATGTATTTAAAACTGTGTATTAGATATTGCATGACAGAAAGCATTGTATACTGATATATAGAAAAACTCTTCTCAAAAAATAGCTCAAGGAGGAAGGAGAATAAGAAATGCACACAGAAAACAGAAATCCCTGTATTATAATTTTGCCTAACATTGAACAGGTGAAAGAATATAGTGGGAACCCATTTGGAGTGGTAGACCCTGGGAGTAAAGTGGCTTCTCCTTACCCTCCCTGAGTGGCTCACAGACTCTTTTGCTTCATTAAGCACAGTTAGGCTTTTCCCTGCTGTCAGCAGCATCTGTGCAGAGTGCACCTACTGACTCCAGTTTGCCTGCCAGGCTAGAGTGCTGCCATCAGCATTGAAGATGGGGGAAAAACAAATGTCACACATTCTGTTCTTACCATGCTATCTTCCCTCTGCTGCAAAAGTAGCTGATCTAGGAAGAACTAACTGTGTGGAACCTAATTCTTTCCAGTCACTACTCCAGCTGTCAGGTATTGAGAGCAATAATGAGATAGGACAAGACAGGTCTTTAAGGAAAGAAAAAAGTCTCAAGCCCTGAAAAGTCCTCTCTCTTCTGGGTTAGCTGTAATCATTCACTTGCAGAGAGTGTGGGCTGCCACATCAGCCCATGTTTCCCAGGGGACATGCCAAAGCAAAAACAGGAGATATCCTAGACTACTAGTGCCCTGCCACTGTTTTTTCTTCAGTGCCTAACTGCTTTTGGATTTCTCTAGTGGTGGAGCTCATCCCCAAGAGGAGACTTAGTACTGAAATATCTTGTTGTCTCTCAGTTCTAAGTCTGTATGTCATGCTAGTCCATGCCCTGCCTGATGGATAAATGCAGTGTCTGGATAGTGGTTCTGTGCCACATTCATTTTCAGTTTTTCTCCCTTCTTTCCTTTGTTCTTGTAGTTCACTTGATTAACAGCATGTCCTACTTTCCTCATCTAAGTCAATCCCAGGTAGTTCTTTTTCTTCCCAAAAGCTTAGCACATCAAGGACAAGGAAGGAGTGAAAGATACTTTGCCAGATTATGATTGAGAACTCAGAATGGGCACATCTATCATAAAGTATTTTAACACTGAGCCTCCCTTTTTTTATTATTATTAATTCCAACCGCCCACCCACAACTGTGCATTTAGGATTCTCACATGACTCATGACACGTTTAACCATATGATACATTCATCAAGGTAGAAAATATGTGCCAGATGCTTTACAAGTCAAAAGATAACTTGGGCAGTACATAACAGGCAATGAGAAAGCTGTGTACCAGCCAGGTTACACCAGCCTGAGAAGTCTGTCCAAATGAACAGTAACAAAATACACTGTCTTCTAAAAACTGGACTTTAATATCAGCTTTGACATCAGGTTATTAAAATAGGATTACTCTCTTCTCAGCTATTGACCACGAAAGGCCAAGAAACAATTTAGGGTGTGAAGTTCAACAGCATTCCATATCTATTCTGGCCACCCACAAACGCCAGACTGGAATCTTTACAGTATCACGAATTTCTCAGAGAAACAGAGAAAGAGAAAAAATATGTACAGAGTTGCATATGTCAGATTTTGTAGCAAACAGTTTCTACCTAATAAGCCATAAAAACCAGCAGCAATTATCATCATTAAAAAAATTCAACCTTGGATGCTTAATGACATCTGGAAAATTCCAGCTTTCCTCTAAAAATACACTTAGTAGAATACTGTAGCATCAGTCCAAAAGTTCTCTGAAAGCTATTAACCTCCTGCCAAATCCAGTGTTTTTTCCCACTCTCCCCAAAATTATGATCTATATCTTTCTGTTATGTGTTTTCAAGTATAATTTCCTCTCTTCTGAGTCATCTGTGAACTAAAGCTCAAATGTATGTCATAAAAGGCATCTCAATAAACAGAAAGAAGAAAAGGAACCTCTCCCAGGAGGGCTGTGAAGAAGCTGTATATTTATAGTGTCTGTTATAGACATGGTCTTTTGCAACTGAAATGGCAAGACCATGTTTACCTAATAGGAGCAAGTCATGAAGCTTGGCAATCTTCATTTACAGCTGTATCTATTCCGTCCTTGTATTTCATGTTCAGATGTGTCTGAGAAGTCAAAAGCAAGTCCAGTCAAAAGCATTTGGACACTCTATTTGCTAGGACTGGACCCAAAACAGTATAAAGGGCTCCAGATTTGTTCAAAGTTTATCTCTCTGTGAACGGAAATGTAATGTTGACCAAATGCAGTTTGTCACTGAAGAAATACAGTTCTTAATCCCATGGAGAACCACTTCATGCTTCAATAAACTCCTGCCTGATAACCTCCTGCCTGTTTCTTTTCTCTCCTAGTGCCCACTAAGGAGCCTTTTTTGACAAACATTTTGAATTCTTAAATTACTAATAATACGAAATGAGAAAATGAAAAGATAATTTAAAACAATTAATGGATCTGTAGTTTGAGCTTGAGCTGAGAAAGCAACTGAACTGAATAGCAAACCAAAGTTCCCAATAATTTCAGTGGGGCCAGAATTCCTCTTCCATGCTGAAAGGTCACTTAATTGGTTTATCAGACTTCCAATATCATATAGGCCAGTGAAGACCACTAAGAAATTCCTGCAGCAAGAGAGAAGGGGTATTTTTCCCTCATGTATGAGAAAATGAAATCCAGCCCAGTACTTCTAGATGTTATTTTCAAGGATATTAGACATAAACTAGAACTCCCATATGGGGCAGCTTCAATTGATGATGACTAAGTTGAATATGCTTAAAGACAAAATAATCTAGCAAGGAAGAAAGAAATTGTGGATGTGGATGGAGAGAGATCTCTATCTATTCCCCAAAGCACTCCTGTAATAAATTAACATTGAAAATCAACACAGTAATGCAGCTCTACGCTTCCAAAACTATTTTCTCTTGAAGGTGGAGATCCTTTTTGGACATTTTTCATCAACAACAACAGGTAATTCCCAGTCTAGATTCTGTTTTTAGAAGGGATTTCTAATTCTCAGTCATCTGGATGAATGAAGGTTTCATGCTAAGGCTTATTTCAGAGCATTGTCCCAGGTCTGACTGCAGGTATTTCTACACTGCTTTGGTGCTTGATTGTTGGTTTGGACTACAACCAACATATTACTATATAGATGTTAATGGAGAGGTTACCTTGAGAGATGAACCTTTAGGACTGAAACATTTAAATGGTTTCTTGTCTTCAGCTACACCATCTTCTGGCATCTTTTGACGTTTCTCTGCAGCTTCAGCCCTTCTCCTTTCAATTTCTTCCTTCATCCTTCTCTTTTCCTCCTTAAAAAATATGAATTGTCACTTAGTCTTTCAGAAACTACATCACCATTACAGGGCTTTGCAGCCCTGGAAACATTTAACAAGTTTTCTAAGAATAGATTTTTATGCCATTCAAAAAGTTCAGTGACTTATCTGAAATCTAGAAATATATTGCCACTAATCTGTCACAGTGTTAAGGCAGCAGGGAAGACAGCTAGTCTGTATTGCCTCAGTGTCTCCTCACAGTGAGGTCACCAGATTTATTGCCATATAATGCCACTTAAAGGGAGAAAAAAGCACAATTATAACAATACTCAAATTCTGTTTCTCTGTATCCTCATATATCATCTTTGTACTGCTCTTCTGTCTCTCTACTCTGGCACTTCTTGTGCCAAGTTTAATACTTCACAAGGAAAAATCACTAGGTACCCAAAAGAGTGGAGATTAAATGCTTAGAGTTTTCCCTTCAAAGAGATAACATGTGGTTTTACTTTCTAAGCTCCAAGTCAAACCAAAAACCCTCACAGTACAACCATTGTGAGCACTGGTCAGCAGGGTCTGATCAGAAAGGTATTGTGCAATCTCAGCATCTATTGAGTTCTACTGTAAACAGCTTAGTATATTAAAGTAATTGGCATTCAGCTGCCAAAGACTATTGTTGTTCATCTACCATTTGATTTCCAAACAACAAAGATTACTAAATGCTGCACCAGAGATTTAGAAATCCTATTTATATGGTCCCTTGGCAGAGGAAGTACAAGGAAACAGATGTGCTTGGGTACTCAACAGTTAAACAGACAAGAACATCTTCCTAATAAGATCTAGCCCATCGTAACTATATATAACATTAACATTCCAACTCATCTGCAGGGAATTAATTTTGACATGTGCTTTGTAATCCAATTTGTGTAATACCAAAAAGACACCACAAATAAATTAAGAACTCTGTGGCTGCAATGGTGCACCCAGCCTTTTGCATTCCCAAGAAGATAAAACATTCACAACCATCGCAGATGAAATCCTGACTTGTGAAGACTTATATTAGATATAGTCCTGTTTTTCCTGAGGCTAGAACTGTAATATTCCTTTCTACCCTGGGTAGCTTCATGTTTTACCTCAGGTCCTCACTAAAGCATCTGTGTGGTGTGGCCACTTGGTATCGAATATGGCATGCTTGCAGTTAAACCTGAAGGTTAGTAAATGGGGCAATTTTAATACTGGGTAGAATGTTTGAAATCAAGGTCTGTTGTGACAGACCATCACCTGACAGACTCTAATTTATAGTGATGCCCAGTAAAGCACACAACTTAAAGGGCCTAGATAAAGGGTGTAATCTGAAGCAAAGTCACAGCAGCAGTTCCCCACACAGCGACTTCAGATCCAAGGAGAAGCACAGTTTGGCCTATATGCTTGGGTTTGGTCTTGCATTTCTTATTACACACTCCTTTCTCACCTATGAACCAGTCTCCTGTGGCCTCATTCTGCTCATTTGTTAAACACAGACCCATCAGTCTCCAGACCCATCAACTTCCTTGTCTAGAAGTGTCTGATACCACCATAAAAAGTTATGAACTAAGACAAGGCAGGCAAAAGTAGTAACAAAAAAGGAATAAAACCACAGTCCAATGCTTCATATTTTACACTTACCTCCTCTCTGGCTTTTCTCTCAGCCTCTTCCTGCTTCTTCTTCTGCTCCTCCTCCTCCAGGATTTTCCGGCGCTCCTCCCGCCTTTTCTTCAGCTCATCCAGCTCTGCTGCTGCCTCCTGCTGCTTCTCCTTCAGCTTCTCAAGTTCCTCATTCTCTCCTCGGCGACGCCGCTGATCCTCTAGCCGCTTTCCAGCCTCAAACTGGGCGCCTGGCTTTTTTTTTTTCAAACTGGAGCGGCTGGGAAAGAGACAAAACCAGGGGTTTTCGCTTCCTGGCCAGGGTCACCCCCTGCCATGCCCTCCCCAGCAAGAGAACAGCCTGCCGCTTGAAGCTAAAGCCTTGTAAGACTTTTTGCTCCTCGCAAACTACAACAGGTCCAAAATATTTTCATGGGGAGTTCGTAGGCTGGGATAGCGTGAGGAGCCCCTCTCCAACCCACTGCCAGTGAGGAAGGAGTCTCTCACGTGCTTGTGTGCACAGGAGCTGCACCACCCAGCCTGAGAACTCAGGTCAGCCCCCTTTTTAAGCAAATTCAGTAACTGACCTTGAAATAGTTAACATCTCATGTAACTTCAAAAGAGATACCATATCTCATCAGCATCTCTGTGGTACACAGTAAACCATGACACTTTCATACCTCTGCTCTGCAGTTTATGTACAGAGGAAACACTTCCAAAAACATATTATATGGAAAACAAAGCAATGGAAAGCCCTAACTAACTTCCCTCTGTTGATTTTAAATGAGATAAATTTACATGTTAAAAGCGCATAGCAAAAATATGCTATGTTTTCTGTAATAAAAGCTACACTAATCCTTTGCTTTCAAAAGTAAGTATTTTTAATGAACCCTCTAGAAAAAGACAGGCATCTTTGGAGGTAGAACAAATTACTAGACCAGGGAAAAGAGAAGGAGACAAGAGACAGGAGAAAATCTTACAGATTTAACAATGTTTTTAAAACCTAAAAAGGTTCCTATCTCATGCATAATACCTATCACTTTAACTCTCTCTGTCTATATGAACAGAAAGTTTCATCAGATCTTTGCTGACATTTTCCAGGGAAAGTATGACTTTTTAGCAAGGAACTGGAAATTATTTAATGGCAACTTTCTGCAGGAGAAAAACAGAAGTTTTCCAGGCAGCTGTAATACATGAGAGAGAAAGAAAAATATTTAAAAAAAAAAAAAAAAAAGACACAACCCCTCCCCAAATTTGCATAGGTGAAGTGCATGCTTTCAGCAGTCAGATAGAATCACCTAGTTAAATGATTACCACACCAGTGTTTAAACAATGTCTGCTCCCTGAGTGCGTTTAATATTACTGCTCACAGGGAGATAGGTACCTAAAAGGTATCAGTGTGCTGTTTCCAGGAGACAGAAAGGAAGTGTACTTACAGATTTTTTTTTTTAAATAACTTTCTGGTCTGTTCTGTTGGCATTTAAAGAAGCTGGATATTAATTACCCTGTTAATGCAACAAAAGTGTTGCAGAGTATATCACCACAAGATTATACAGATCAAGAGCTCCAACAATGAAAATAACTGTCAGAGACAATAAGATTAGCAACAACAACATGAAGAAAAACTATAATATAAGTTTGCAATCTGGTGGATCACACCAAGTCCTGCAGAGGTGCTCTTCATTCAAGTAGACGCTACATCTAGATGGAGCTAACCCTATGAAATAGGCTGTGGGATCAGAGCTGAATTATCTGTCGTTTCAATATCACAGTAGAATCTACAAACACGGAGTCCTCTGTCCTCACATAATCTTACCAAATTGGATGAAATTTGGTTCTAGCACAGCATGCCTGACTTGGGAATTGTATCATTAAAAAAACATATGGCAAAATAAAATAACAAAACTGATGCTATTGTGTGAATTCAGCTTCTATATTTCTTCTGTGAAAGTTCAAGGCTGAAGCAGTAGGATCTGGCACTTATTTGGCACTAGATGATGCATTTTCTAAACAAAAATGGAACATTACAAAGCAAAGCTAAAGGGGAAAAAAAAAGTCCCAGAGGTCTGTGAATGTATGTAGCCCAAATACATTCTGATGCCTGATTTTCTAACCTAGAGTTACAAGTTAAAAATACTTATTTCCCTAATATTACCTTATTACTATCCATTCCTTTCTCCAGGCCCTACTCCTGAATGTGTTTTGTAGTGGAATCACTTAAACCAGGAAAGAAGAACCACAAGATCATCCTCTACCACAAGCATAAAATTAATTAAGTGGTCACAAATGAGGGCTTACATCAGGTAGTGATGCCTAATTAAAGAAAGGAACTCATGCTTTTCAAATGAAAAATATGGATACAATTAGCTAAAGCACTGTGAGAAAACATTTGAAACTTCATCTGAAATTCCATTTAGCCCATTAAAATCAAACTGAGGACCAATAACTGAAGTGTGAGGTATGATTTTGGGTGTCCAACCTCAAAATACTGCTGATTCAGTTTGCAGAGGTACTAAGAAACCAAAATATTCCACAAGCCTCTCTATAAGGCACTAGAGGATTTCTAAGGCTTCAGTGCACCTATTCTGCACAGGCCATGAGAATTCCCTGGCTTTTTAAACCTTCCCAGCTTCATTAAAGGGCTGTAGCCTCTATAGCAAACATCCCAGGAATCTCACAAATTTGTTTGCCTCTTGCTCTCTGAAGTCTGTGTCGCCAGCCCACCCATACCTGCAAGGCCTAAGCTGAAAGAGGGTGCAAGAGGTCACTTCTGACATACATAATGATATCCCTGGCAATGGCAAATACTAAGCCCTCAGTATTAAAAGAACTAAGAACGTAACACTTGCCAAGATTCACTTAATAAATAGCCACTCTGTTTAATGTCAGCATGGAAGAAAGGTTAGTCCTTGGTGACTTCAGTAGTGATAGACCCAATGAAATTAACAGCTGTTCTCTGAACTTATCAGCTGCTCTCCTTTCAGCTGATAAAAGCCAGAGGTAGAATCTAGTCTTAACAGTTTTATTAGGAGACTTCAGGTGACTATTTTGTCCTCCTTACATAGAAGAATATTTAAAGTTTCTAGTTTATTTTCTGCTCATGCAGCTTACAGGGCTTACCCTACTGGTTCTGCAAAACCCAAGTTAGCAAACAATGTACTGGCATCTCTCAAACTCCTCTGTTTTCAACAGATTCTGGAAATCTCTGTTCCCTAGTGTCAACATTGGGAAATTAGTATTGAGATGCTGGGTGGAGGAAGAGTTTCGTAAGTACCTCTTTGGTGCTAAGAAATGAAGTTGGTTGCCAGCTTTCAGACAAGGAGGAAAATGAAAGAAGCAGCTTGTGGAAGCCAAAAATGTCAGAACAATGGGAAAAAACATGTTACATCGTATTTAGGACTTTTGCAGTCCTGTAATAGAATAGGGAGGAGGGCAGGTGGGAGTGGAGATGTGAAGGGGAAACCATAAAATGGGAGTTTATTCTGCATTTCTCTTACTGACTGACATAGACAAACAAGAAACAACTAAGATTTTTCTTTAGCTTCCACTACCCCATTGTATGCTCAGCCCTCACCAGTGAGAGTTAGCCAAGTTACGTTCTTCCCAGCTGGTATCTGATATGTTCATGTAAAAACAAGATCAGAACGAAGCCCAGCAATGTGGGGGCAGTTCCTTAGAGTGTAGGCCAAGAGCCTTAATTCATACCTAACAACTCAATGAACATTAGTCTCTGCTGATGTTGCCAACCCAAGTCTTCTACTCAGCTGATAAAAGGCTATTAAACAGGCTTCTTCCCACATTTGGGAAATAGTAGAAGAAAAACAGAAAGAGAAAAAAAAAGAGTGGAAACTCAAATCTACATGTTGCCATTAAGGCTTGTCTCCCACAGGAAGTAAAGCAAATGAAAAGACAACAAAAATATTTTTAGAAAACCATTCTTATGTTATTGATGATGTGACCCAAGTCATGAAGCAGAACAGTTCTGAGCAAGTCCTATTTCCTGCTATTCCATCTCCATCTCTGTCTGTCTTTTGGCCTTAGGTCAGGATGTCTCCAGGGACTTTTGAACTGCATTTTATTTTGAGAAAGTTTGTTTTTCCCGGAAGAATCACGAGCGGAATGCTGAGATACAACAGCAAATCCCATCTGCCATGCACAGATTTCTCAAAGTGCCTGTAGAGCTTAACCTTTTCTGTGCCTGTGTCAGTGTAGAAGAGGGAGAGAGGTTCAGAAAGAAAAAAAAAATTTTGCTAATTTATTCATTCCTGTTTTGTTGCTAAAAGGAAGAACTTCTGTTATTCTTCATGTATCCCCTCCTTTTAGCAGGTAGAATCCTTTTTTTAATAACCTTTTCTCTAGAAATTTGTTACCTTCATTGAATTTTTCAATATAGACATAAGGCAAATAATTCCTTGAAAGGAAAACTAAAACCCAAACTGTGCTACATCTTATAAAAAGACAAAAAATAAAACATTTTGGCTAGGAGATGTTTTCACTTAAATGAAAAATCACTTTTATAGAGAAGCCATTAATATCAAGGTTTGTCTAGAAATAAAGAGAGAAGCTCTTTCAAGAGTTCCCAGCTGGACTGGGCTCCATACTGATATGCAGAATATGATTAAAAGCAGGCAGGTAATTGAAAAAAGGTTACTTGAGTAAAGGTTGAGATCTGACTTAAAAACTTAGAGAACACAAAATCTGGCCTTTTGCCACTATTGGCCTCTGTGCAGATATTAGAAATACATCTCCTTTAAGGAAGGAAAGTTCTGACAGAGTGAAAATAAGCCACTTGTCTCTACTGAGGGAGCGAGGCTGCTTACATCTGCTTTCTGTACTTCATTTTGTTACTGCAGCAGTGTGGGAGCGATTCCTTAGAAAACAGGCCAAAAGCTTTAGTTCATACCTACAACTCAAGGAATGGTGGAACCTCTGCTGATGTTGCCACCTCAAATCTTCTACTCAGTTGCTACAAGGCTATTAAGTGGAGACCCCAAGATGACTGCCTGGTCTGCTGTAACATCAGAAAGCCCAGTGCTTACTTGGAACTTACCCAAAAGCATTCTCAGATTTAAGTTTTGGGGCAGTGAGTTCACGTTCTCCATTCTGTGCCTTTTGTTCAGGAACTCCCTTCTTACGATCCCAGATACTTTTCATTTCCTCCTTGGGTGCTTTTCCTTTGTCCTTGTCATCTTTTACCTGCTCAGGAGATACAGTAAATCATAGAACAAAACCAAGAAACAAAAGAGGAAAAAAAAAAAAAAAGTCACAATGAGGCATTCTAAATAAAACCTGAGGAACACATTTCTTGATATTAATGATTAACTAAGCAACTGCCTTTAAAATTGTGCTTTATGGCAGAAGCAATCTGTAAAGCTCTGTAAAGTTGTGACCAACCACCACTCTGCTGTCCTGATCTGAATTCAAGATGAAAACATCTTGAATAAAATTATCAGTCTTCTATGAAAGTTTGTTGTGGCGATGGGCCTATGCTACCACATTGTTTCATTCTGCAACTGCACCCTGCACTGAGGCACCCCAACCCTCTTCCCTCCCACTGCAGCATCATACACGTTGCCTGTTAAGATTCTAGGTTGCAGACTCTTTGGGATTAGGCTTGTTAATACATTCTTGGTACAAAGTCTGGGGTACGGGTATTGGTGCAATAAAAATAACACAAACCTTCACCAATTGCCAAGTTTGATAGACAAAGTTCATATTCTTTCCAGTGTCATAGCAGATCGATACTTCAGTATTGCAAGAATAATGGCCAAAACACAAAATTATCTTTACACCAGAGTAAAACTTACCCTGACAAAAAAAAGAACAATTCTACCAGTGGCTAGTCATGGGCAGTGTTATCAGAAATGAATGTTTAATCCTATGAAGAAGCAAATGTCCTCTCCAGAAAGACTATGGCAAAAATTTCCTCTATCTTTACAAAGCTTTGTCTTATAATTTTTAAAGCAATCAAGTGTATTTAGTGCATGGATTTCACTCTCTAGTATTCTTTCAGAGTTATGAGGTCGAAGTATTTCTCAATATCACAGATGGCCTGATCCCAGCATGCTGAGTCATGGCTAGCTGCTGATAAGAGCAGGAGAATATGGAATGATTTAAGTTCTTTATCCTCACATAGAATTATTCCCACTCAGTTAGTTAGACCAGCAGCCTAAATAAACAGCAGAAGATGATGAATTTACCTTTAAAATATTTTATTAATTTTTTTTTCCCCAGCTTTACCATGTTGGAGGAAGATTCTAGCTGGCAAGCAAAAAATACCTTCTGTGAAAAATTCATATGAAGATCTTGAACCAAAACCCAAATAGTTCTGTGAAATACTTTTGTCTCTTGGAAGCCTGTTGCCATCTTATTTGCTAACTAGAATGAAAAAGAACTTCTGTAACAGTCATGTCTGCAACACAGCTGCTTTTATAGTGTTCCAAGCTGCACCTTTAAATAAAAAAACAATATACCACTCACCCGCAAAATAAAATCTTATTTCTAACTTTTCTCATCCAAATGGCTCTGGAGATATTATATCTTTACCAATAAAGGATGAATTCAGTGTCTTCAAAGTCAAGATTCTCCCCTGTGGCACTGAATTAAGTTGCTGAGTGAAGTCCCAAAGTCAGGCTCTGACTTCACGTGAGGCCAGTTTCCTTGCTTGCAGAAACCCATGCGATGGACAATGTCCAAGTGGCACACACCAGAGGTGAGTAATGGGTGGCTAAACAACTCGAGCAAATTTGCTGCTGCTGAGGGATGCTGGACACAACTGACAGAGGCATTTACTCTGTCCCAAGAGCGGGCAGTGCAGATTTTCCCCACCCACTCCTGCCTGCTGGCTTTAGCCAGGACCTGGCAGAAGCCCACTGACAGACAAGAGGAGAGCTCAGTTTCCATGACCGTGCATTCTTTGGCCATGATGCTGTAATAGCTAGCAAACAAGGCCGTTATTACTAGCAGCCTCAAGGAATGTTTTTAGTTGTTTTTGTTTTCTAGGAGCTGGGATGAGACAACCAGGGCTATTCATTGAGCCTAATGAATGCCATCAGACTGTAACATCTTTTGGGTTCTTCCAAATCTGGCAAGATTGTAGCCAGTGATTATGTTCACGGAAAAAATCCTGACTGCCCTTTGGCAATCTTCTAACCCTTCAATCCCAGTCAGGGTGATATTGAAAAATGGCAATGTTGATTGTTGCAAAATTTCACATGCCAGGATGTCTGTGTTGGGATTTTGAGAGCATCAGATTTCCTTTGCTGAGATTTTCATCAAGACCTTTCTATGTCTTATGAAAAAGCCAATACTTCCAGCTGCCTGATGTATTGAAGTCCATCGGGGAGGGACATATCTCTTGCATCTTAATTGAAATCACTGAGAAAACTAATATTAAAACAATATAGTTTAAAAATTCATAGCTTAGGAAACAGCATTTCCGAAGCCGGTAGGATTTGTGGTATTGTGTCTGCATTTGAGAAAACCATTAATACAGCTTGGCCTCTTTATTCAAAAAGATGATAAAATATTACAGAAACTTTTCACAGCTTCTGGGGCCAATCCTTCTCCTACTAATTTTAATGCCAAAACAGGGATTGATAAGCACAGAAGCAGAAACCATTATGTTCCGTTCCAAAGGCAGGCAACAGAAAAAGTACTTTCCCCAAGTCTCAGTGCTTCCTTATATTAGAGGATAATTCAGCTTCTGCTGAATTCAGTAAAAGGGACTACACTGACTTCAGTTGGAGTAGGCAGGTGATATTACCTGAACTGAAAGCAGTTCATGTGCTCTCACAAGTCTTGACCATCGAGTCAAGATAGAACATGACCAAAAACATATTTAGCAAATATCCAGCTTTATTTATATATATTTTAATTCTTCTCTACACTGCTTCTTTCTTGCTAGGGTGTAATGCTAATATTAAGGAGTTGAGATTTCTAAATCCAGAGTTTGAACACCTTCAGACCACAGTGAATCAATTACTGAGCTTGAGGCTATTTGGCAAATTTTATTCCTTATTTGGGCTCAATTACTTGGTACTTAAAAGCTGTAGGCATCTGGGTCTAGGGCTTCCCTTTAGAGTCAGCTACCATACCCTAATACCATGAGAAACGCAACTGTTGCGGCATGTCTAGCCAAACTGGAAGCAGGAAATACCAGGAGTCTCACATCATGAGAAAGCTTGTTCTTACAAACTTTCCAGGCCACTTTTGAGAACCAAAAATTGTGGGGCAGTTCAGAAAAGGAGAGAGATTTTGCTTGCTAATTTGATCAAAACCTGAACTTTGAGGGCCAGAGGGTGGACACAGTAAGAAAGAACATGTGCTTGTGTTGCACAACTGCAAAAGCAAAATCTGATTTTGTAGGTACACTGTATTCCTTCAGGATCTCTTTCATGATATACTGCCATCCTCTGAACTGCATATATGGTTCAGAAGTAGGCATCGCTGAATTTGTATGTCCTTGAAGGCATGGGAGGAGTGGAGATGGAAGCCTGATCTTGACGCAGAGTGTGAGACTGTCAGTTTTTACCTTCACAAGCCAAGAAGCAACAACTGAGACTTTCAAAACTGAGCAAAACACTGTGAATGCTCTGCTTGATACATGTGTGAAAGATTTACCTTTCAGTGGATGGGTATTCAGCGTTGCCCTAGAAGTGGGACTCTCTTAAGAAATTGTCTCAGCTTGAGCTTCCAAAAATGGAAGCACTAAAATCACAAGTCACTTGTAAAAGTCTTACCAATTTCCTGGGATAATCTAGCCCTGAGTCTATGGTTTAAATGCTTGATGAGAGCTCCAGCGAGAGCTCTGTGAGCTCAGCATAAACATAAGCAGAACCACTGCCCCCTCCCCTAATCAGTATTTGTGGTCAGATACAGCCTCCTTTTTATATTTACTTGCAAAGATTGTGTGCAACAGTGAATAAAATTACAAGTCTATTCCAGCTTATGAAGAACCGTAAATATAATCTCTCCCTGTTCTTTAGAAACCTTTCTTCTAACCATCTTCACCACTTCATTTGCCTTTTCAGTCTCATGTGTACCTTACTCAAAATATGATATCTTGGATGATCAAACCAAGCAACTGGAGATACAACCCTGAGACATGATTTGCCTTCATCACTCTCTGAGGCTGAGCTAAGCATCTAAGGCATGCTTCAAATTAATCAAACAACTAAGAACCCTGGGCCAGGCCTCATACAACCCTCAAAGCTACCAAGCAGCTAGACAGGCAGCAAGCTGCCTGTTACTAGATCTCTGTGTTTTGGCTCCCTTTAAGCCACACAGACTTAGCTGAACCCAAACTGGTCCAAACCTCCAAGGCTCTGACCAGTCTCCCTGTCTGATTTGAATCAGGGGGCATTTTGATACCTGCTGCATTGAACCAAAAGCACAGTTGCTACACAACGTTGAACATGGCTCCCTGTGTCCAGCTGTAACCTGATGAGTAAATCGTCCCCAAATCTTATTTACTTACCATACAGTAAAACACCATGGCACCAGCTCCTGTGTTTACAGTGGAAATGCAATGCAGTAAATTTTGTAGATTTTATCTTTAAAACAAATGAAGAATCTTGGGTATGCATGGTTTATATCATGGGGCATTGCAGTCTAGGGGAAAATCATTAGTTAAAGTAGTCAGGTGGCCAAGGACTAGATCATTATGATGATTATTATTATTACTATTATTGTAAAAGCAGGTCTCAGTCATAGGGAAAAAGTTTGCAGTAAAGTGGGAGGAAACCAGGGAAGGATGATTAGTTGATTTAATCCTGAAAAATTCATCCCTGGGGTGCAAACCATCCTTGCATTATTATTTCAGTTTCCTGAAATGTTTGTTCTTAGACAAACAGGACTTGCTTTTAAAGCCCAAAAAGAACAAAATACTTAAGCATTTACTTCATTTTAAGCACATAAGTAACGTCATCCCTATTTATTTCAACAGGATTACCCATGTTCTTGCAGTGAAGCACATGCTTAAGTACTTTGCTGAACAAGCAACTTTCAGTTATAGGTCCTTTATTTATTTTCTTATCTCGAGTTTCCCTACAACATCTATATCAATAGTTTACAAGTTACCTGATCTTTTTTGGAGGTAGGTTGGCGCTTCTCATCTGGTAGCTTTTCCTTTTTAGCTTCCACTTTAACCTCTTTTTCTTCCCCCTTTATTTTTGGGTTTTTAATATTTTTTTTTTAATATGAAATCACATTTGTTTGCACTATTGTTTCTCCATACTGTGTTCATGTACCAAACCTGTGCGCAGCCACATCTCCATCATATGCTGCTGTGCCCACGTGTCCATGTGCAGTTGTGCTCCCTCCACCTTCTCCAGGTGCTCCCGTTCCCCCATCTGGGCCTTTCTCCCTTGTGCAGCATCATGCTCACATGTCCCAGCAGAGAGCCCTCTCTTGTGACAGCATTTAACACACACTTTTCTCACACAGTTTACCAGGTGCTCATAATATTTTGTGCCAATATGTGTCTGCCTCCACCTCATGTGTTACTGCACTAGGCTGGTTTATATCAGTTGAGAAAAAAGGCAGCAAAAAACATGCAGGGGTCTGAACATGCAAAGTTTGCTTTGAATGATGGAGTGTGGTCGGGAATGTTGTGCACTGAATTATTGGTAAGCAGAAGCAAAAGGCTTTAAAAAAAAGAAAAAGAGAGAGCAAGACAGAGAGCACGAATATTAGTCATTTCAATGCAGGAATGGATCTGTGAGGAAATGCCAATTCAATCCTTTTTTTTTTTTCTTTGCATTACATTTCTCACAAACCACAGGTGTCTTATTTTGGTGCAGAATGTTTACTGTACCTGTTTTCTTAGGAAAGCTGCTTGAGGTTTTTCCTCTTGTACTTTCTTCTCTTTTACCTGTTTATCTTCTATTTTCTTTTCTTCCATCTTTTGTTTTTCCTTTAATTTCTCTGCTTCTAGCTTAGCCTTTTCTTCAGCTGCCCTCTTCTCCTCTTCTGCCTTAGCCCTCTCCCTTTCCTCAGCTGCCCTCTTCTCCTCTTCTGCTTTAGCCCTTGCTCTTTCCTCAGCTGCTCTCTTCTCCTCTTCTGCCTTAGCTCTCTCTCTTTCCTCAGCTGCTCTCTTCTCCTCTTCTGCCTTAGCCCTCTCCCTTTCCTCAGCTGCTCTCTTCTCTTCTGCTTTAGCCCTCTCTCTCTCCTCAGCTGCTCTCTTTTCCTCCTCTGCTTTCTGTTTTTCCTCAGCTGCCTTCTTTTCTTCCTCTGCTTTTAACCTCTCCCTTTCTTCTGCCTCACGTTTCTCTTTTTCTTCTGCTTTTTTCCTTTCTTCCTCAGCCTTTTCCTCCTCCCTAAGCTTCTCTTTGTCTACACCATCAGCTAGACTTTGCTCCCCTTCCAGAACAGCATTTGCATCATTTTCTGCTTTATGTTCCTCTGCATTTATAGCTATGTTTTTTGTTTCTACTACCTCTTCTTTATCTGTGGCTTTTTCTGCTGTCACATCTACCTGATTTTCCTCTGCGGGGACATCCTTTGGTTTCTCATCCTGTGCCTCCTCCTTGTCTTTTTCTTCTTTTTTTCCCTCTTCTTCCCCATCTTCCCTCCAGTTGTTGCTTTGATATGATTTGGTAACTGTTTCCATGTCCTCAGTCTCATTGCGTCCTCGGCGTGTTTCAGCTTTTTCCTCCTTCCCCGTAGTCTCGTTTTCTTCCACGTTGTTTGCTTCTCTTCTGCTGGGCAGTGACAAGCTCCCATCTGTGATCGTGGGGTCAAATTCCTTTTGACGTTCCAGGGCTTCTTGTAGACGTTTCTGGCGTCTCTCCTCCCGCCTTGCCAGTCTCTCCAACAATGCAGCTTCGTCATCAGCTCCCCTTGTAGCACGCTTGGTTTCCTCTTCTGGCACACTACATAGAAGTGACAATTTTGCATTTAAAAAAAGAATCTTTCTGACAATGTATGAGCTTAGCAGTTTCTAGGGAAAAATGCTTGCTGTAACATCATTCCATGGTTTGAAAACAGAACAAGTTGCATACTTCATGCCCCTGATAACTGAGGATGCAGAGAAGGCAGAGTTGCTAAATGCCTTCTTTGCTTCAGTCTTTAATCCTGAGACCAGTCCTGGTGAGCTCCAGACCCAAGATGTAGGAGAGAAAGCCTGGAGGAGGGAAGACTCTCTGCTAGTCAGTGGAGACTGGGTTAGTGATCAGTTATGGAAATTGAATATACACAAGTCCATGGGCCCTGATGAAATTCACCCACGAGTATTGAGAGAACTGACTGATGTTGTCA